GAACACGAGTTCCACCGCTCGCCGAGGGTGGACGTACTCGGGCGCGCTACGCACCGAATCGGATCACTGGGTCAAAGGAACAAACGAACAAACGGTCCTTGCGAACGAACAAACGCTTGCAGCAACTTCCCGCGGCTCGAGATGCTCGCTTTCGAGAGGACGAAATCAATCGGGACAAATCGAACGGGAAAAATTATCCGTCGTATTCTGTGTAATTGAGGATAACGAGGAACGGGGGAACGTACGTTTATTTCGCGTACGATGCGGCTCCGTGCGCGCAAACAATTGCGCACTTTGACCGCGTCAATCGCTCGAGAGGAGACGAACGTCCTTTGTCTCTGTCTTCTTTGCAACTGCGACCTTTCTCTTTTTCTCCTCCACCGATCGAAAATGTCGCTCGAAATCTCTGGGCAGGCGAGATCGAAAGAAGAATTACAGAATCACTCGGAAGAAGAAGGAGAAGAGAAGCAGGGAGAAGAAAACGATCAGGAGGAAGAAGACGAGGAAGATGATCAAGTGTATCCTGCTCATGATTGCCGTCCGTCCGGTGTTGGAAATCGATAGGTCCGGCTCGTACTCGCTGAGCAATATGGTGCTGCACTTGGCCAGCTATCGACCGTTTCTCCTTCCGAACGAAGGGACACGAGCACACTGTCGCGCAATCACGATTTTCCCTTCACTGGCAGACTAAGCAGCAGCTAGTAGCTGCGTCTGCGACTAGAGCGCGTAGAACGGGCCGCGTATCTCGTGCAATTCCCCCGGCACATGTACCAACCTCGGCTTCCAACCAACCAACTTGATTACACGGTGAAGGTCGTGACCGAGGAAGAACCAACAACTCTATATACAGTACACGTATACCTGCACACAGGCGTTACTCACGCACACACACACGCTACGCGCGCGCACACGCCTTCACGTAGTAACTTGTGCGTAGCTTTTCACCCTGTCGAGCATCCAGTCTCGAGTCTCTATCTGTAAATTCTCCCTAGTTCCCGTATCTCTTCGATCTCTTCCACACACCGCTGCTGCTTCTCTTCTTCGTTCGAGACGTGTTACGGCCAACGCTCGATTCGCTCTGTGCGTTGATGCACGTTCGCGAACGGGCCGGACGTGGAGTCTTCAAAGGTTCGAGAAAATTTTTGGAGAAAAAGAGCACGACGCGAAAGAGAGAGAGAAAGAGAGAGAGAGAGGGAAAGAGAGCAACGACTAAAGCGTCGTGTCACCGGCTGACCACCGCCACTTTTGAGGATCCTCGAGGTCGCTGATTCCTCCAACGATCGCGGTCTGCATCACTGCGCGCTTCTCCTTTGCTTCACACGCGTCTTCGAAGGTCGCGATCGATCCTACCTCTCTCTAGGAGATTTTCAGCTCGGAAACCGGCGAACGTGGCGAGTAAGATACAGCTACCGGCATCGATACCGGCGACGTCGCACACCCACCACCACGAGGACCACCACTACCACCTCCACCACCACCACTACCACCACCACCACCACCACCACCACCACTACCGATAGCAGCAGCAGCAGCAGCAGCAGCAGCAGTAGCAGCAGCAGCCACCTCCGTCACGATGGCCACCACCTACGCGTCGTTTCACAAGGTGCGTCAACGCTGGTAGCAGCAACGGCGGCACCACCGTCGAAAACGCGGCGGACGACGTCGTCGCCGGGATCTGCCCGAGTCCCGGCACTGCGACCCACCCCCGCGCAATCCCCACGTTCGCCACGCTCCACCCTAAACCTCTCGCTTTGTCTCTCCTTCCGCTGCTGCTTTGTCGCTCGCCCCTTCCACCACCACCACCACCACCCCCCTCCCTGTCCTGCCTGTTCCCGCCGCTCGGTGACGTCACGGGAATGGAGTCGGGGATCGATCCCGAACGCTCACCCCGACTACCAACCGCATCCTCCCTAAACGCCGCTGTGTGTACTCACCGGATGGAAAACATTCGACCGATCTCGCGACCTCTCGCGACCTTCTCTACGCGCTCTCTTCCTTCCTTCCTTCCTTCCTTCCTTCCTTCCTTCCCTCTTTCCCTCTCTCCTTTCTCTCTTCCTTTCTTCCTTCGCGTCCGATAGCAGGACAGGAGGAATGTTCCTTTGCTGACGCATCGCGAGATTCACCGCGGTCAACCGACTAACCTTCTTTCTTTCTTTCTTTCTTTCGCCGAAGCGACGAGAGACATTTCCCAACCTACGAATGATCGATATGCGAATCGGCTGTGATGCCACTCAACGTTTGAAGCGCGGGACGCTCGGTACTCTTGCCTAGAGTAAATTTTCGCGTGTCGAGTCAAAGTCGATCGTACACAGACAACGCTCCTGTGTCACGAGACTCTGGCCGCCGTTGAAGAACGTATCGCCGCGATTCCAACTTGCGAATATCGGCCGTTGCGAATTTGCATCCGAGTTCACCGATTTGCATACATATTGAACGGGCGTATCGACTAATCGAAAACTCGACAAACAATCCCTTGGTTCCCTCGGTCGCGCTTGCTCTTTTCCTTCGAGAGACCGAGCCGTCTCGAACGCGATCGGCTAGATTGGGTGTCGCTCAACCACGTGAAACTCTCGTCCAACTCTCTTTCGTTTCGTTCGACTCTCGCAATTCTACGCTCCCTTCGATTCAACCTAGTTCTAGAGCTGCTCGGTCCCTCTGTCCACAAGCTAGAGTTACGGGAAGAGTTGAAAGTTTCAAATACAAAGAAAATTTCGTCGGGGAGAGAAAGAATCGAAGATCACGTTCCACTTTCGTCCAACTGACGAGGGTGAATTCAACACACCTCGAATGAAATAAAATGATTACCCGACAACCTGAGATTCTTCGATCCAACCGCGGATAAATTCTGCCTTGCGGAAGAGTTTCAAAGCGTCTTCGTTCCCCGCGGAAATCGCGAACGATCGGCAAAAGCGAAACGAGAGGAAGAAGAAGAACAATCCGCGAGAAACGTTCCAATTGCTTCCTTCTCTCGCCGATCGAATCGTCGAGTCGGTGAAATTGCTCGCGGAGCTCGCTGGTTAATCGCTGGTGGCGATTTAAGCTGCATAATGAATCCGCGATACTATCGGGAGTACAGGGAATTAAAAGATTTCCATTCTTCGCGCGACAAAGTAGATAACCGTGAATCGAGCGTGGTCACGGCGCTCGTTATTACGGGCCAATGGCTGCCCATGCTCCTCTCATGCTGCCTCGCGTATGCACTCGGTTAAGACTCCGCAACTGGGACGGTTAACCAACTAGAAAACTCTTGGTTTCTTTGTGGAGAATAAAAACGGCGTGGAACACGCTTGAAATTGTTACACTTGTTATCGATTCGATCGACTCCACTTTCGGAAGTTTTTTCGACTTTGAAATTTTTGTGTCGTAGCACACCGACTGACACCGACTTGACTCTTTTTGTATTCGAAATAAATTTATTAGATAATTAGATAATTAGATTTAGCCATCAATGGCCATGTTTTTTTTTTTTTTTTTTTTTGACCTGTGTGAATAGTAAGTAATTTATTTCAGAAGCTGATTAGAGCTATTATCTAAGCAAATGGCTTATGGACAAAATATTAAGGTACGATAAAGCTTGTGAATCTGACTATGAAAAAATTCTGGTGCAAAATTGGTTCCATGTTTTTTAATTTTTTCAGCCAGGAAGAAACCTAATCTCAAAGGTTAAAAAATAGCTTCAATTTCCTAAAACTATAAAGAATCAGATAGTCAAGTTTATTTTCATGTTTTTATACTTTATTTAACAATAAAAAATATTTTTCTTAAAAATTTTTGTTATCGACTCAATTTTGCAACCGACTGTATATAATTGTGAGGTTTTTAATACGAAGTAGAAAAAAACTGTTTAGCGTCATCTCCGTAAAAAAGGAGGAAAAATGAAATTCCACCGATTAGAAATAACGAATCTGAAACTGAATGATTTAAGCCAATGCATTGGTTTAATAAAATTAGAAAGATAGAATTCATGATTTCAACGAAAGTGCCAGAATTTTAAACTGAACTTAAAAACAACGCGCATTGCTATGTCACGTTTCCCCAGTTTCTGTTTCTATTCCGGAGTTGTTCGACCCGGCACGACGGGGCGGTTGGAAAATCGAACGACAGAACCAATCCACCGACGAACAATTCCCAACAATGTACGTAATTAACGTTTCGTCCCAAAATTCTAAACTCTAGGCTCAAACAGACTTTCAGACTAGTGAAGTTTTCACTTGGGCACATTCGTATCATTTTCGTTTCTCTTCGCGGAGAATTAAATTGAAACGACACGAACGCTTTGCCAACAGTCGCAAAGAATCGCACGCGAAGAAAAAGACAGACAGAGAGATAGAGAGAAACGTATGAGAAAGTAAAGAAGTGAGAAGAGAACGTGCTGCGCCTGCGACGCTTCTCTCGGTTTGCCTCGAGAGGTTCATTGAAATGCACGGTCATACGCGGTTTTCCACCTTGCCCGGATAAAATTTCCACCTGGACGAAACGCGGTCGCGCTTTGACGTGGAAACGTTAAAAGAAAAACGAAAGCTAAGAAATCGACGATAATCCACCCTCCTTCAGGTGAAAAGACGAAGGCAACAAACTCTGCCTGTTCTCACTCGCAAGTCGGGATTGGCTTTGAGAAGGATCGTTGATCCTTTGGCTATTGTCTAACTTACTTTGGTACCCTGAAACGGAGGAGCGCCTGTGGGTCATCCATCGATGCATTTACGAATCGTCGGATCGTGTATCGACTCGTCCTTCGAATTCTAACACACTTTACTCGATTATCAGACAAATAAGTTAATAAGTTAAATTTTTGGCACGTGCATTAACGATTCGATAGAGAAATAAATATCGGTTTAACGCGACCCGGTGTTTCGATTATTTCGAAACTCGGAGAAATGCTCGCTGACGAAAAAATTTCGTCGTCCTCTTGAACACCTTGTATGCCACGTGCGGTACGTGTCAAAGTTTGCCATAGCAAGAGGCTTAAAAAAAAAAAAAAAAAAAGAAAAGGCACTCACCGTTCCGTCGAAGCATCCGCTGTGGGCTAACGGCTCTTCTGGGATCGTTCCAACGAACCTCGCCGTATGCGACGCTCGTTCCCAGTCTGCTCGGCCCGTTGACAGTGCCGCCAATGTCCTTAGGCAAAGGCGGTAGAGGTCTGTCGGCGTCGTATTCCGTACCGTCCGCGTGAATCGTGTGAACCGCGTCCCTGCGCTCTTGATGAGAAAACACCGAGTCCGTGTCGGAAACGCTGTCCTCGCTCCTGTGCCTCCTGGTCGGTGGTTCCGGCGCGGTGCCGTGCTTCGTCGGCCAATTCCCGACGCTGGCCAGGTCCTGCCCGACGACCGACTGATTCGAGAAGCTGACCCTCTTCGCGCTACCACCGGCACTCGCGTACTCCTGCACGGCGTGAGGCTCTCCGCCGATCAGGCTGCCCCTCTTGAAGATCGGCGGGGGCGGAGGTGCCATCAACGTCGACGTCTTTCCAACGAGGACGTCGTTGTTCGTTCGTTCCTCCTCGTAGATCGAGGAAACGTCGAGCTTTTGCCTCGGATTTGCCGTTTGCGCCGGAGGAAGCTCCCCCCGATGGAAATGCGGGGAGGCGCTCTTGCTTCGCTGCGCCTCCTGCCTGACGACAGGTTCGAGCATGGGTTTCGACGAGGTGGCCAAGTCGCGACGCTCGCGAATCGCTTGTTGAGGCCGGACGATCAACACCGGCTGATTCTGGCCTTTCTGGCTCTGCATCAACGGAGGTTTCCCCGCGGGGTTCGACTTTGTTGTCGGGCAACCACGAGGTGGTTGCTGACCAACAACCTGGCTACCGCCGATCCACGAGGCTGATGGATCTCCGTGGGCGACCGGCACGCCGACGCTCGAGGGACTTCGAAGCAACGAAGTTTGTCCGAGGTTCGCGTTCTTTCGACAACAGGAGGAGGATATCTCCTCCGTCGCGTTCTGCTCGTAAATACGTCTCTGTTGCTCCTCGTCGAGCTTCTTGAGTTGCTGCCAGTACATCGCTTCCCTGACCTCCGGTAAGTCAATTTTCCTGGCCACCTGCCTGGGGCCGGCGTTCGTCGGAACAGCCATGGAGGCCTTTCTGCGCGCCTCCAGCGCCTTTTGCTGCCAGTAGAACGCCTCCAGATGTTGCCTGGTCTGCTGCTTCGAGGGCGACAACGGCCCGGCGATCGCTGCTACGTTGTACGTTCCCCGTACGTGCCCGTACGTCGCGCTCGGTTCGCAGAGCATTCTCTGAACGTACAGCACCGCTTCCGGCCGAGGTTCTTGCCGTCCCGCCATTCCCGTTGATCGAACTTCCACGCGACGCGAAGAGGGAACGGGGACATCCTGCGAACGATGGTAACCTTGCTCGTCGTGTCGTTGCGACGACGGCACCAACGACGACGACGACGACGACGACTCGACTGTACGAGGCGATCGAACGTTCTCTCTCGCGAGTGGAACGACGGTCGAACGAGGCTCGTTCGGCTTTTGCGGGCTCGCGCGAGGCGAAGACGCGTGCGATGCTTGGACCCAGGCCACTCTGTCGTCGCCATCCTTTCCGCTCGTCGTTCGTTCGTCCGACGATTCTCGAATTCTCGTCGGTGGAGTGCTGCCAATTTCCGCGTTCCTCTGGCTCTTCTGCTGCCCGTAAACGGGCTCCGGTCGCGATATCTCCGCGTCGTTGAAGCTGACGTCGGCGTCGCGAGCCTCCTTGCTCGCGGCGGCTTTGCTCGAACCGGATTCCTCCTGGCTACGCCGATCCAGGGAACCGCGAGGCGCGTTGCTCATACGAACCGGCGACTCCATGGCGCATCGTCTCGACTCGTTGGAGGGACGGCGTGGAATTCTCGTCTCGCAGGAGGAGGCGGAGGTTTCCCTCTTCGGAGAGGCTATGAGAATCTGTTCGTTGGGCTGAGCAAGGTCCCTCCTGCTGGAAGCTGGCAGACGTTGTCGCGAGCCGAACGGGGAGATTGGTTTACCCTGACTTCCGGTGGGAGAGGCAGGACTGCAGCTCTCGATACGCAGATCCTCGTTTGCCTCGTCCTCGCGTTTCTCGTTCGCGAGGTTCTCCCTGGGCGAGACCGAGCATCTCTCGCCTCTGCAACGAGCAGCAGTTCGTCTCGGAGGTGACGAAACTCTCACGTTGTCCAGAGAATCGTTGTCGATCGAACGTCGACGTTCGAGTTGCCGGGCGTTTGCCGAGTTTTCCTCGCACGGGGAGGTAGCGCCGCCGGGCGTCTGGTCGTAAATCCTTTCGCTCGCGCATCCGGCGGGTGGCGATCTCGATGACGGCGAGATCTTCTCGTTCTCGTAGATGGCCTCTCTTCTCTTCGCCGAATCCTCGCAGTCGTCGAACTCGCCTGCTTCGTTGGGCGGAGATCCGCTGTTTCGTGGCGAGTGCAGGTAGTACTCGCCGCTTTTGGAGCTAGAAGGTGAAAACTCGCTCTTCTGACTGGAGTTTGGCGTGCAACTCGAGTCGCCGTAGTCACCGGACTTTTGACTCGATCCGGAGGAGAGATACTTGGGCGATCTGCCAACCAGAGGAGCTCTGTGATTCTGATTCACTATCGGTTGCCTGGTGATCTTCACCTGCGCGGACACCGACTTCAAAATCAGGCCCGAGGGATCGTCCTCGTTCTCGTCGAGGTACTCGGCGGCAGGTTTGTCGTACCTGGCGTTCCTTCCGTACCTCGCTGCCTTTCGTTCCTCTCCTTCTTCCTCCTGCTCGGCCAAGTAGTTCTCGTAGTCGGCCGCTAGTTCGGCCCTGGAGCGCGGTATCGCGGGCAACGGCCGATCCATCGGACGAACGGCTCTCGGCCTGACCAGGTACCTCTCGCTCGGTGGAGCGGATATCCTGCCAGAGGGAGCGTGGTTCCTCTGGAAGAAGCAGGACGGTCTGACCGCGGCGTGACTCGGCTCCTGCAAGCTGTGTTTTCGTTCGAGCTGACCGTTGTTGTTGTTGTTGCTGTTGTATCGTTGCCCGTTGTATCTCTGACCGAATTCCTCGCGCTTCTGTCTCTCTTCGAATTTCCTAATGTCCGGCGAGATTCCCAGCTGCGCGTTCCGCTCGTTCCACCTTTCGTCCGGCGCGATCGAGCTGAGGCTCGAGTCGGTCGCGTAACACCTCGGCACTCCGCTTCGATCGCGCAGCAAAAGACCCTCGCGATCCTCGTCCCTGGCCAAGTGATCCGGCGTGCTCGTTATCGGTCCTTGATCCGGGTGATTCGGGAACAGCTCGCGCTTAATCTCGTCCAGCCTCTCCTCGATTATCGACCCGTTCAGGCTGTTGTCAAGCTTCACGTTCCTCTTGATGTCTTCGTTCAGGTTCATCGTGTCCGGAGACCTGGTGTAGTTGCCGTTCTGCTGGTAACGGGCAAAGTGCTTGTCGTCGGGCCTCTTCCTCTCCTTCGACTCCTTCTTCCTGCTGTACTCCTTTCGGGAATCTTTCGGCGAGAAGAAGCCCGGTAGCAAACGACGAAGGCCCAGCTTCCTCTTCTGCTGCTTCTCCTCTTTCTTCGCCGACCGAGAGGACGATCCCGCCGCCGCCTCCATGGCGAACTCTCTTATCAGATTCGCGTACCCGTCCGCTCCGAAGCGATCGCCGATCACCGCAAAGTCCACGCTGTCGGTGCTGGTCGCGCTCGAGACCTCCCGGTTACTCCCGATTACTTTACTCGATCGTTGCCGATTTCTCGGACTACGACACTCGATGCTTATCTCTCTCGAGCTCCGTCCGTCGAGCTCCGCTCTGTCGTCGTCGGTGTCATTCTCGTCTCGGAGTCCTTCTTCCGTCTCCTTCTCTCCGATATCCTGCTCCAAAGACTTGATCCTCTCCTCGAGACACGAGTCCGAGTCGACGATGCTGAGCGTGCTGTCGCCGGCGTCCCGCTTCCCCTGGCACCGCTCGAACGGCAAAGCCCTGGCCGATCCTAGTCCTCGCTCGTAGTCCTCGCTCTCCTCCCCGGACGAGGAAACGCTGCCCAACTCCTCCACGTAAGAGGACTTGGACGATCCCGAGGAACGACGATCCAACTGGTCCTTGAGAAACTCGCCGGACCACCTCTTCTCCACTTCCAGCACCTTCTCGCTGTAGCCGAGCTTCCTCGCTGCTGTAGCCGAGCACGGCTCCTCCTCCTCCTCCTCCTCCTCCTCCTCCTCCTCCTCCTCCTCTTCTCCACCGGCAAGGAGTCCGGTCGAAGCGGACTCGCGACTCGCGTCCGATCCCGGCAGATCCCGATACTCCTCGATCTTCAATCTCTTGTCGAGATTGTGCTTCTGCAGGAACTCTTCGTCGAACGTCAGCTTACCGCTCGCGAGCCTCTCGACGTTCGAATCCAACGTCCCGTCGGCCAACTTTCGAGCGGCACGGTTTCCTCGCGATTCCAGTAATTCCTCCTTGTACCTCTGAGCCGTGCTCGCGTCGATCCTCGCGCTCAGGTTCTGCTGCAGCACCTCGATCTTCGTCCGACTCTTCTCCAAACGATCCTTCGCGCTCGCCTCTTCTATCTCGTCCTTCCCTCCGTCCACTTCAACTGATTTGCTAGATTCGTTTTCTCCCACAGGGGAACAGACAACTTTTTCCAAAATCTTCTTCCTCGGTCCTCCTTTCACGAACGGACGACTCTTGGTCAACTTGACAGGGTTGATTCTCTTCTCTATCGTCCACGATTCCGCAGTTTGTTTCGACGGAGCGTCGCCGCCCGCGGACGCGGCGGCTACTATCTCTTCAGGAAGGGAAGCGCGAAATTTGCCAGAATTCGTTGCCGGTTCGTTGCATCTCGTTGCCCGCTCAGACACCGATCCTCCACCGAGCTCCGACTTTATCGAAAGTTTCCGCGAACTCTCGTTCTTCGTCAGAAGAACCTCGCGAGAACCGCCGGTACGTTCCAACACGATCTTTTCGAGCGTGATCTTGTCTACGGAGAGAACGCAAACTTTCTCCCGATCTTCGCTCTTCTTTGCGGGGATTTGCTCGCGTCTTGAATCGTGATCGATTCGCGCGTCCGTGTCTGAAGAATTCTTATCGAGCGCCTCCGCCCCGGCCGCCGTCGCCGCCGCCGCCATCCTCCGTTTCCCAGCAAGCGCAGTTTGCCACAGCCTGCAATTCAAATCAAGCCGTTCGGTCCAATCCACTCGCTTCGATCGTTGAAATATCGTTACACAAGCTACGTTTAGAAATTTAGAAATATATTTGGGACGCCTCTTTGGCTATAGCCACGTGTTGTTTTGAGTTTCGAAATTTCGCGTGAAAAGGAACGTGCGTGCGATCGACCAAGAGGTGGCACCAACTTTTACAAAAATATATATTTATATTAATGAAAAGAATATGAAAATTTTTTAACGTGACAACGTTAAAAAATTTTCATATTCGTTTCTTAGATACCAGTTCATCAGACATTTGGTTTGAGATAGTGGCGATACTTTGTCATTTTTTCCTTCGTGTTGGGGAAAAAAGTCTGCTCGCAAATATAAATACTCCCGGTTTAGAAGGGACGGATCGTGAACATTCACGGTTTAAACGATGCAAATAATAAAATTCTTACTCGATTGCTCCAATTTTTATTATGCAGGCGCCAGGATAACATCGCCCGCGGTTGGCACGTAATATCGCGTTACCTCGATTACGAGAAACCGATCTCAGCCGGCCGTGCATTTATCTCGACTACCACGTTACGTGACTCGTGCCTCGCCAAGGAATTCCGCTGCACAGACAATCTCTAATTTCTCCACTCGCCAACTAATTATAATTGTATTGTCTCTCGAGTCGAGATACTTTGGAACGAGCGGCCTGACAGATATACGTCGAGAACCCGATTCCTTCGCGATTCGACTCGGAGAAGGACCGTGATTCATTTCTTTTCTTTTTTCAATAAAGAATTTACTCGATCTCGTTATACAGCGATCCATATCAAGTTCGCAACTGACAGTCCTACGTCATTTCAAACTCTTTAGCTGAATATCGGTAACGTGGTTCTACGTCGTTTGAAATTGGCGCGCCTGCCAGCCGTGAGATTGAGTACAAATGAACGTTCAATGAATAAGTGAACAATAATATAGTTAATGTACAGCACTAAAGTGGCAAATGAACGCTTGCACGGTAAGAAATTGATCGTTTATCGCTCGTTTTCTTTTCATCAGAATTATCAGTATCTTCGTTTCAAATTTTTTATATAATTTACTTGTGTGTTTTCTTTGCACATTCGATCGAAGGAGAAGATCAGTCATCTAGATTTAATAACGACAGTGTGACACGGACAACGACGCTCCGATACAATTCCAAGAAACATTAGAATAATAAGAACGATAAAAATCCGACAATAGAGCTGAACCTCCAGTACCTTTACTCAGCTGTAGACTTTTGGAAATTCCACGATTACTGGTCATGAATGAGTGGCCCAAGTGGTCAAAATGAACGATTTATAATTTTCTGAACGATTTATAATACTTTGTTAAATACTTTATAGACGTAAAACAGCGTATTTTTAAAGATTTGAACAATTCTTCGTAAAATATACAAATGAAAATTCTTGTAGAATTTGTTTTCACTTGAACGTCTCTGATGGAAATTTTACGATAGTTCTAGAGTTAATAAAAACAGAATTCTTTGGGAAGCGGTCTTCGAAAGATTTTACAAATAAATTGTACGACGTTTATATGTATGTATGTGCATGTGTCGGGCTCGGAGCCGGTTAGAATCGTTAACCCCGGTCGTGAGTTAAGTTCTCGGAACGCAAAAGGGGATTTCTTCGAAGACGAAGAGAGCGAGAGCCGCGACGTTTGCTCGAATAATCGCGATAAACAGAGTTTAAACTAGCGAGTCAAGGGACAGAGTCATGCGGTCATCGAGTTCGCGACGGAAGGAGCTGGCGTCGTAAAGTTGCGAAGAGCAACGACCGTAACCGATTCCCTCTCGGCAACTTGCAAAGAGCCGCGAGCGGGACGTTTTACTCATTTTTTAGCGCGTTTTTCGCGGTCCCGTTACCTTTCCTTTCGCTCGCGTTCTCTCTCTCTCTCTCTCTCTCTCTCTCTCTCTCTCTTTCTCTCTCTCTCTTCGTCTTTCATACGGGAAACGTTTATACGAATCTAAGAACAGCTGGATGATACGCTACGTTTGTGAATATATATATATATATATATGTATGTGCTATTCACGTATGATTAATACATCATAATTTTATTATTTTAATATAGTATAACAATATATTAATAATTATTTATTTTTATTAATTATTATTATTATTATAATTAATAAACTATTATTAATATAATATAATAATATTATTATTTTAATATAATATAATAATAATAATAATAATATAGTAATACAATAATTATATATATATATATATATATGCGCGTGAAAGTTACGTCGCAAAGGTACAAAATAATAAAATTATGATGTATTAATCATACGTGAATAGTAGAAAAGCGAATTTTCACTTTCTGCGAATATACATCTGCCGATCAGCCGAAAATCGATCGGAGAAAGAGACTAACTTGTTTGTCAGTGGCCTCAAAGGATCGATACACGCGTACGTGAGAGAAACGCAATATTCCTTGTTGAAACTAATACGTCGGTGTTGGCTTACGGGAGCACGTACGTCGATTATAAAAATACATGCTGTCACCATCGATTACGTAAATAACGTTTGCATCGAAGATGTTGACGTAATCGGGTCAATTTCGAGCCGTATCGATGGAAGAACGGGGAGAAAATTGATTATCGGTCGAAGGTCGAAAATTGGAGTAAAACCGAGAGAAAAGAAAATTTCTTTTCGTTGCGATTCTAAAAGGAAAGCAGTTTATACTTGAGATTCTACGTCCGATTTTTCACAAATGGAAAAATACTATCGTTGTAAAATCATTCCGTTGTAACTTTTCAACCTTTTGAACCGGATTTGTCTTCAATGTCGTTGTCCACTTGTTTTAAGGTAAATTCTATGGTAAACTTTTTATGATTTGTCGAAACAATTTTTATTTTTATCTTTTTGCAAATTTTTACATCAAAGGATGAGAGTTTTCTCTCGGCAGACGATTTCCTGAATTGCGCAAGTTGCAAAAAGGATGGGGAGGGGGACGGAAGAAAGAAAAAGAGAAATTAAGACTCGCGATAGGAAAGTAGCGGCATGTTTCACGAAACGTTAACAGAGGAACGATAACTCTCGCCGAAGAAACACCGAGTAATTTTCTACGGGTCATAAATTCCCCAACACCGACAGTTTGCTGACCGTGACTAAATTCGCCTGTAATCCCCTCCACCGTACAAGGAGGAACGAGCAGCAACTGGGAAACGAGAGCGGATGGAGGGAAAATGGAGAATCAGAGGCAGAAGGGAAAGAGAGAGGAAGAGGAAGAGGCAAAGACTAAAACGAACGTCTCCTGTCGAGCTAATAATTGACAGACACGATTGGTTTAACGAGTACCACCGGTTCTCGGTTAATTATCGTGACTCTCGTTATCCCATTATCGTCGTTAGATAGTATCGGGCGAGCTTCTTTGCCGGTTGCCGACTGTAGGTTTGCAGGATGCGCCGACCAGCTTCACCGACCGCGGCTCGCTAACAAGGAACGCCATTCAATTCGCCATGGAATATTACGCAACCGCGCACGCGCATAATTTTTAATATTCGTTAAAAAAAGAAAAAACGTCGATAACTGAAATCACCCAGGAGGAAGGAAAAAAATCAAATTACGCAAGTTCGTCTTATGGAGTTTCCTAGTAGAGGATGCATTAGAATCTCTGCTTGACACAGTGGAAAGCATACACCACTGTATCAACGACAAAAATTGTCGATACTTTAAAGTGACATAACTCGCGGAGGAAATTTGACTCATCTTCAAGAAGACTTTACTTTAATGATAGCGAGATAATTTTTGTCATTTAGCGAGCGAATGAGGCAGGATACTTTTTTTCTCCAAGATTGTAAAAGTTCAAACTTCTGTTACAAGTATGAGTACAAATAGGTATTTCCTCGTCGTTTAAAAAATAATTACATAGACTCGCAAGGTAATAACGACGTGCAAGAGAGACGGAAATAAGACGGATTGAAGTTTCGAGGCCACGTGTTTTCGTGCAATCGTCTTCTTCGCAGAGATACACGCTCTAATCTCACCTGACTGTACAATTTAATCCAACCTCGTGTAATTATTATACCGGGGATTTTCATGCCTCTGTACGTTTGTGCGATTTGGCACGTTCACGAACTTTTCAAAAAAAAAACAAAAGTCGCTACATAAATCCAGATAAGACCACAGAGGAGGTGACAGAATTTGAATGTTACCGAGTTAAAATTGATTTCGATCGAAACCAAACAGAATTGTGACTTCTGAACCGAGTTGAGGTTCCATTGATCGACAACTGACCGTTGGATTTCTTCGTCGATTTGCAATTCCGTGAATCGTGTAAACAAACGTCGCGTTAACGGGTTAACCCGAAATCACTTGGGCGCCATCTGTCGTCTGATCCGAGACCGCGGCAGCATTAACGATAATTCGCGGCGACGTGTAAATCTGTCAAAAGGTTCATTACCAAAATTTCTTTTACCAACCGTTCGTAAATTCTCCGACGATCTCTCCCGCTGTCCCACTCTTTCACATCTCACAAACTTCTCCACTCGAACGAATATCCTCCCGACGACGACGAAGAAGAAGAAGAAGAAGAAGAAGAAGAAGAAGAAGCAGCTCACTGTTCCAACATCGTTCGATCGCCGATCGATCTGTCACCGAGATCTGACGCGCGCGTATCTTCCTATCCGTTGCAGTCGCGACGTCGATGCGATCTTTGACACAAAGGGGTGGGGGTGGGAGGTGGGAGGTGATACACGGCGACGAGGAGGCGAGGAGTGGACGCGAGTATATCGTCGGATAAAACTCGGCGGTACGTACGTACGTCGCTTGGAAGAAGACGAAGGGAAACGTAGAGAGGGGCAGAATTAATCGAGAGAAGAGAGTGACAAAGAATCGAAAGGGAAGGGACAACAGAGAGAGAAAGAGAGAGAGAGAGAGAGAGAGAGAGAGAGAGGAGGAATGCGGCGTGAACGATGCCTCCGCCGCCGACTGACTGACACTCTCGTTCGCGTAATGCACGTAGAGCGAGTGG